ATCTGTAGGAATGAAGGCAGTTGCTCAGGGATAATCTACATGAGGAAAAGAGCTACAGGCAGAACCAGCTAGAAGTATCAGTGCCAGTATCAGAAACTTGGGGCAAGAGGCTACCATGTCAGTAGGTGGTGTGGAAAGAGAGTCAATAGATATGAGCCACTCTTCTTACGGTAGGAAATGTGGGACCTAGAGGAAAGAGTTGGGTGAAAGAAAGTTCTTTGTTTCCTCTGATGGACTGGAATCAAGCGCATGGGGGTAGTCCTGCCACTTGAGCTTTAAATGAAACTCCTTATCCATAAGAATTACTGTCTCACAGCATGTCTACTAGCACAGCTTGTTACTCAGATCATTTTGGTCTGCTATGTCCTCTTGCTCTTGACCATCTGGACCACTCACTGGTCCTTCCCCAGAGTTGGCTAAACCTTTAGTCTCAGTTATAACCCTAGCGTATCACCATGCAGGCATTGGCTCTTCCTTTGTCCATGCTGCGGGCTCTCAGAGCTTATGCATTTACAGTAGTAGGCAGTGGGTGGGGGAAGCAACTGCCAAGGGAGTTCAAGATACAGCAGAGAGAGGGGTGGTTGATGGCACAGGATCCCTACGAAGCCAGCAGGAATGAGCTCTGTTGTATGGGTTTGACTCACTAAAGAAAAACGTCTTCCCCAGAGATAAAATTAAAAGGATCTAACACTATGAAAAAGAAAAATCTTTATTTATTTATTTTTTATTTTTTATTTTTATTTTTATTTTTATTTTTTTTTTAAATCTTTAAAATATGTCAGGCAGGCTCTTCACTGAGGGTTTTGCTTATACTACTGTACTTACTACTTATCCCAGCACCATACAGAGGCCCTAATACCACCCCTATTTGTGGATGAAAAAACTGAGTCTGGAGCAGTCAGATCACTTGGCCAAAGTCCCACAGGTGATAAGTGACAGAGCTGGGGCTGTAATTATGGCCTGACCCCAAGTCTGTGCCCTCGTTTTCTCTCCTGGGGAAGTAGGGTCAGTGAAGACAGCGAGTCCAAACTGGGGAGAAGTGGAGGAGCTCGTGTTGAATGAATGTCTCAGGGTCATAAAGGAGAGGAAGTGAGGTCATCTCTAGAGACTGGGCTTGGGGGCTTTAGTCATCTTCACAGAATTTAACGGGAGTAGAACAGGGTTGGAATGGCCACTGTGGGAGAGTCAGGGGAGTCGACAGCACAACTAAAAGAAATTCTGGACAGCAGCAGAGGCCCAGCTGGGGCTGCATAATGTGCATTTTGTACTGGAACCAACGAAGGCATTTTTATGAGTTTTTCCAGCAACCTTTCACCGCCCACATATATAGGACCACAGAAGAGATGTTTTTGCTCACTCCTTAGGACTCAACACTTGATTACAAGCCCAGAGGAGCAACATCTTGTGCCGATGCCCTGAGCCATCTGCAGAGAAGGGATAATGGGATCCCACAGGGCCAGGGATGGGCCAGGTGGGAACAATGGTGGCTTGGGACGGGCCTGTGGTGCGCTCGCTGCTGGAGGAGCTGACCACAAGGAGGCCCCGCGGAAACGGAGCAGGGCCCGGAGGCTGACGTGAAAAAGCAGCTGCTTGCAAAAATACATACACTGATGTTCACACTTTAAAGGAGCCTAGGAAACGAACGCTTCCTTATTCACTGAGGGTGAGTAATAATTTGTGTCGGGCAAGAATAAGGGAATGCTGACTTCACTGTGTTTACTACCAGAGAAAACTGGGGGGCTGGCCAGGATGGCAAAACATCCATCCTGGTAAAAGCCTAAGCGTTTGCTAATGAGGTTGTATTACAACCACGCTCTGCTTTCCAAAACAGCACCCTCAGGAAACAAGAAATAAAGTCATTTTTCTTCAGAGACAGAAGATTTAACATTGCTTAACAATGATACTTAACATCCTTAGCCCTTAGCCTTAGGCAACATCCTTAACTACTGAGTGCTAGGAACTGTCTTCTTCCTGGGCTGGCTTGGGCTCTGGCTCTACTTTGGGAAGGGTCTTTCAGCAGGGCAGCAGGTTGCAGGAGCGCACTTTAAAGATGACTGAACTCCAAGAAAGCATAGCACGGTGCCTCTTGACCAGGGCTACTGACTCACGCCATGCCTGGAGAAGAGGGTGTGTGAGGGGTGTGTATGCACTTTCTCTCTCTGTGTGTCAATGGTTCCAAATTTGGCATATAAATCAGCATTACTGAATTAACTTAAAAACTCCTGTGATGCTCTTCACAAACCACATGGCAACCAAAGCAGCCAGGAGCACATTTAGTTCACTGTAAGGTTGGCCACCAACTTCCCATAGATAGAATTATTCCTATTGTTTTAAAAGAATTATTTATTTGAGAGAGAGAGAGAGAGAGAGATCTTGAACAGGGGGAGGGACAGAAGGAGGGGATGAGGGAGGGGGGAGAAGCAGACTCCCTGCTGAGCATGGAGCTGGGCTTGGGGCTCCATCTCAGGATCCTGAGATCATGACCCGAGCTGAAATTGAGTCGGAAAATTTAACTGGCTGAGCCACCCAGGCACTCCTGAATTATTCCCATTTTCAATTAAAAATTTAACTCCATAAACATCAAATATCGTAAAGCTCCCTGCCTCTGTGACAAAGAGGGGGATGGATCCAGTGCCTACAGAGATGTGCTCACCTTCCTCTCCTGACAAAGGGAGAGAGCAGGGAGCTGCTGTGATTCAGGCAAGAGAACAGGAAAATCTCCAGGGTGGGGAAGACTAGAAAACCAGGGTAAATGTCACTGGCACACAGAGCTGGATCTGTATACCTTCTTAAAGCCAAGTGGGTCCCCTGCCTCTTCATTCTGCATCTTGTTGGGTAAAGATGGAGTACCCGCATGGGCTGGAGCATATTGGTGAGGATATCCTGCAACCCCCCACTTCAGATGTTGAGATGGAAACCTGAGGTGGAACTCCTCCATTTGAAAACTTGTGCCAGGGACCTCACGTGCATTTGTCTGAATACCATTTATTGTCCATCATGGCGACTTCTGGTTGCCAGGTAGCCACCAAGGTCTGTTTGCTCATGCAGCTAATCACTCCTACCACCGTGCATCTGTGTGAGTGCTGTTGGTCAGAACTGCTTTTGGTCTGAGATGCTTCCCCTCTAACTACGTTATATTCTTGGGGTTGGCAGGATTTTGTCAACTTATGCATTGTGATGATAGCTCTAGAGCCACAAACAGCATAAATGTATCGCCTTTGTCAGAAAACTCGCTCTGCAATGTTTAATCCTAAAATAGGCTTGTTGAGAGTTAGCCATGATTAAGCATTTCAGGACTTATTAGCAAAAATAAATAGGAGTTGGAAATTCAGAGGACTTTCTGCTAATAATTACTAAACCAAGTATTTGTTGCACTGTCATACAAAGTTTATTTGCTGCCACCTGTCTGAGAGAGTAGAGTCCTGGGGATGGACTGGCACTGTGTCTCCAGTCTCTATATCCTCAGGGCTCAATACAGAGTAGATAATTAATAGATATATGGAGAATGAATGAGGGAAATTTAGAGTTTTCAATGTTATTTCTGTGTTTTTGATTTGTACTAAAAAAAAAAAAATCCATTTCCGCAGTCTGGTGCAAGTTGGCCAGGAGACACTAAACTGTATCCAGTTTTTTCTTTTTTTTCTTCCCTCTCATAAGAACATACTACTTTCCATCTGCCTTAACCACAATTTCCATACATTTCAACATTGAAAGCCAGAAATGTTATATTTAAAACAAATTTTGGAGATGACTTCCATTTTTTAAAAAATGAAAACAAAATACTAGGCCAGGGAAAAATAAGGAGAGGAAAGAAATCAAGAATGAGAAGAGACTATGAGACAACATACCAAAAAAGAAAGCAGAGAGATAAATAAGATACAGTTGTATGGAAGCTTTTAAAATATTGTAGTTTGAGTATCCTGCCCAATCAGTGTTAACAATTGATTCTCTACTAGAGCTCAGATTTATACTTTTGAAAATCAACATACTATTTATAAGAGCAGATGGTCACTTAGGCTATGCCTGTTGCAATATCCAGGATGGTATTTTTGTAGATTCACACACAGAATTATAGCCAGTGTGAAACTCAACACAGTAACTCCCTCTGGGATAACACTTCAACAATTCCACTTTGATGAAAAAGCTCTATTTAGGATCCTCTCCCCTCTTTTTAAAAGGAGATATTCCGTAACATTTCAGTTTTTTGGCTGGCATTAACCTTTCTTTGTTTGTCCCCCCACTACCCCCCAAACTCAAGATTTCTCACACTCCCTCTTCACTCCCATAGTAGCTGCACTAGACATAATCTTGGAAAGTTTTCCTCTTTGTCATGTGCTACTGATAGCAGACCAAAATTATTCTTCATCTCACAGATAAGAGCACAAGCCTTTGAGAATTGTATCTCATTTTCAGGGGTGTCTAGTTACAGCCTAAGTGGATCGTGTTAGGCCAGAATCACCAAGCGAACTTTTCCCACGCGATTGTTTTCCTTCCCCCACTGTGTCTGCGGCTCTCAGCAATATTTGCTGACTGCCTCGCAAACCCGGTCAGATTCTAAATCAAGCACAGAACATCTTCCCAGGTTCACATTTCTCTCCTGCTTTTTAACACCCACATGACGCTCCAAGGTTAAGGTTGGCTTGCCCTTCCTTGTAGGTAACTGCTAGGACAGAGGATTTACTATTTTACTGTCCCTAAGCTTGGTGCAGGATGTTCAATACTATTTTTATAGCAATGGTTTAGGATTTCCATTCTGTATCCAATATTCTTGCTGACATGTTCAATTGCAATGATATACTATTTTCTTTTCTTAAAAAATAACCCACAAGTGTTTCAATTATTAGCACAGTTGTGAAGATGGCACGAGGGTTGTAGCAGACGGGAGTAAGGAAAATTATAACATATTCCCAATTTCAAAGTCAGATTTCTATTTCATGTAGATTTCTCTAAAGACTTTATTTGTAGGTAAGCTAGTGAGAGGAGACCCCTGAGTGATCTACCTGGGTAAGGATGCGTACTGTCTCTCCATCCCCTCAAAGCGGACGTTGTGTGCAGTCCCATCTGGACCCTTTCCAGACACCTGTGGAGAGAAAAGTAATTAGAGATGAAGATCCATTATACACCCTGGTTACTGACAATGCATTGCAAAATTATAATCAGTGCACAAATGCTGCTGCTGCCTGCCAAAAATCAACTGTGGAAAAGCAAGCAGGATCTCAGTATTGCTATTGGAATTGATGATCAAGCCACAAACATGGCATTTAACAACAAAGTCACTTCTTTCAAAAAGGGTCACTGTCAAACTGACTCCTTCCTGTCACTAAGCCAGGGAGATTCAGTAGGCTGAAAGACCATTTTCCCCCTTTACATAGGCTTTAGTTTTTAGAACAGTTTGAAACTTATAAAAAAACTGAGAAACAGTACAGGGTTTCCGGAACTCAGTTTCCCTATTACTAACATCACACACTAGTGTGGTATGTTTCTTACAATTAATGAATCAATACTGACACATTATTGTTAACTAAAGCTCACAGTTGATTTGGATTTTTATCCAACCCCTTTCCTGTTTTGGGATCCCCTATTACATTTAGTTATCATGTCTCCTAAGTTCCTGTTGCCTAAGACAAGGACCGTATTTTTGTGTTTCTTTGAAATTTTATTTATTTGAGAGAGAAAGTGTGAGTGCATGTGTGTGAGAGAGCACAAGTGGGGGTGGGGCAGAGGGAGAAGCAGAGCAGGGAGCCCAATGTGGGGCTTGATCCCAGGATCCCAACCTGAGGCCGAAGGCAGACACCCAATCAAATGAACCACCTAGGCTTCCCAGGGCCATATTTTTGAAAAGTACCTTTTCCATACCTTTCTTTACTAACAGGGGTTGGTGACAAGTTACTGTCTACTCCAGAGCTTCCATGAAGCCCTCCCTCACCCAAACCTCACTTAATTCCCTCCCCTAGCAACTACCACAGAGAAGTCAGGACCTCTTTTCTAGCTAGGGTTGATCTTTATTATTTTTTTCCCTTTCTTTGTGCTTCCCATGTTGACCTCTCTTCGGGTCTCTTCCATCAGCCTCTGAGACTCTGAAGAGCAGTACGTGGCCCCAGTATGTTCTCAATAAAGTGTGCTAGTTCTGTAACTGTAAAAACTTTATACATAGTGCTTCTGCAGCTCTCATAGCAATCAAAAACAGGATGAACACATCCAGGTATTTAAAAGTACTTGTTGACTTATCAATTCATCACCTGTTCATGTCAACACAGGTGGGTTTGTGGATCATTTATGTTTTGGCTCTTAGGCTGGGCTGGCCATCACATAATGGGCATGGAGGGGGCAAACAGAACACCTGGACATTATAAGGGGGGAAGAGAGAATTTGCTAGTAAGCACGGGAAGTAAAGGTGTCAAGTCAGTAGGGGAAAATTTTCTAGGTAGTACTCAATGTGCAAGTTATTTTCTTCTTGCCAAAAGTTCTAGCTCTCTATAAACCACCATCCCAGCTTGGGTGACATGTGTAGGGAGGATGTATTGTGGAAGTTGTTGCAAAACAAATATATACACTTATTTAGAGTAAGAAAGACTATTCCTGGTGTCCAGTTATTACAGAAGGCTCATCAGAATGTATCCTGAAAAACCTCTCTATATTTCACCAATACATGGAAGAGGAGTGGCTGGAGTTATAAGAAAGGGCAATAGCCCAGTGAATTACCAAGGTAGGGATGAAGACTGCACATACAAACTCACAAGCAACTACAGAGAGACAGAATTCTCTGCGTTAGGATACAAGTCCTGATTTAAACCACTGACTTTTCTTTTTTTTTTATTTTTTTTTTTATTTTTTTTTTTTTGGTTTTCAATAACGTTTATTTATGTATTTTTTTTTATTTTTTATTTTTTTTATAAATTAATTTTTATTGGTGTTCAATTTACCAACATACAGAATAACACCCAGTGCTCATCCCGTCAAGTGTACCCCTCAGTGCCCGTCACCCATTCACCCCCACCCCCCACCCTCCTCCCCCTCCACCACCCCTAGTTCATTTCCCAGAGTTAGGAGTCTTTATGTTCTGTCTCCCTTTCTGATATTTCTCACACACTTCTTCTCCCTTCCCTTATATTCCCTTTCGCTATTATTCATATTCCCCAAATGAATGAGAACATACACTGTTTGTCCTTCTCCGGTTACTGTGGCCAAGTTAAAAAAGGGTGTTGCCTGAGTTCTTCTCTGGGATTTTGATGGAATCTTGTCTCACATTTAGATCTTTCATCTATTTTGAGTTTATCTTTGTGTATGGTGCAAGAGAGTGGTCCAGTTTCATTCTTCTGCATGTGGATGTCCAATTTTCCCAGCACCATTTATTGAAGAGACTGTCTTTCTTCTAGTGGATCGTCTTTCCTCCTTTATCGTATATTAGTTGAGCATAAAGTTCAGGGTCCACTTCTGGGTTCTCTGTTCTGTTCCATTGATCTATATGTCTGTTTTTGTGCCAGTACCACACTGTCTTGATGAACACAGCTTTGTAGTACAACCTGAAATCTGGCATTGTGATGCCCCCAGATATGGTTTTCTTTTTTTAAAATTCCCCTGGCTGTTTGGGGTCTTTTCTGATTCCACACAAATCTTAAAATAATTTGTTCTAAGTCTCTGAAGAAAGTCCATGGTATTTTGATAGGGATTGCATTATACGTGTAAATTGCCCTGGGTAACATTGACATTTTCACAATATTAATTCTGCCAATCCATGAGCATGGAATATTTTTCCATCTCTTTGTGTCTTCCTCAATTTCTTTCAGAAGTGTTCTGTAGTTTTTAGGGTATATTTTGAGAACCATTTGAATGGTAAATGGTTCTCCAACCTTTTATTTTCAGGTTGTAGGTGTCCTTCTGTCTAAAATGAGTCTCTTGTAGACAGCAAATAGATGGGTCCTGTTTTTTTATCCAGTCTGAAACTCTGCGCCTTTTGATGGGGTCATTAAGCCCATTCACGTTCAGAGTTACTTGAACTTCTTCTTAAAGGGGAGTTTTAAGAGTCCCCCTTAAAATTTCTTGCAGAGCTGGTTTGGACGTCACATATTCTTTCAGTTCCTGCCTGTCTTGGAAGCTCTTTATCTCTCCTTCCATTTTGAATGAGAGCCTTGCTGGATAAAGTATTCTTGGTTGCAGGTTCTTCTCATTTAGGACCCTGAATATATCCTGCCAGCCCTTTCTGGCCTGCCAGGTCTCTGTGGAGAGGTCTGCTGTTACCCTAATATTCCTCCCCATGAAAGTCAGGGACTTCTTGTCTCTTGCTGCTTTAAGGATCTTCTCTTTATCTTTGGAATTTGCAAGCTTCACTATTAGATGTCGAGGTGTTGAACGGTTTTTATTGATTTTAGGGGGGGATCTCTCTATTTCCTGGATCTGAATGCCTGTTTCCCTTCCCAGATTGGGAAAGTTTTCAGCTAGGATTTGTTCAAATACATATTCTGGCCCTCTGTCCCTTTCGGCGCCCTCGGGAACCCCAATTAAACGTAGGTTTTTCTTCCTTAGAGTGTCATTTATTTGCCTTAATCTGTCTTCATGGTTCTTTAATTGTTTATCTCTTTTTTCCTCAGTTTCCCTCTTTGCCATTAACTTGTCTTCTATGTCACTCACTCGTTCTTCCACCTCGTTAACCCTCGTCGTTAGGACTTCTAGTTTGGATTGCATCTCATTCAATTGATTTTTAATTTCTGCCTGATTGGATCTAAATTCTGCAGTCATGAAGTCTCGTGAGTCCTTAATGCTTTTTTCTAGAGCCACCAGTAGCTGTAGAATAGTGCTTCTGAATTGGCTTTCTGACATTGAAGTGTAATCCAGATTTTGTAACTCTGTGGGAGAGAGGGCTGTTTCTGGTTCTTTCTTTTGAGGTGAGGTTTTCCTTCTAGTCATTTTGCTCAGTGCAGAGTGGCCAAAAACAAGTTGTATTGGAACACGGGGGAGTATCACTGGTCCCTCTAGCTGGTCTTCTGGGGGAGGGGCCTGTTGCGCTGATTCTCAGGTGTTAGCACTTGGGGGAGCTGCTCTGCCCCTGCCTGCTGCCGGGCTCAGCGGGGGTTGTTTACCCCGTGGGGCCCCAGGAGGAACAGTCGCAGTTGCTATGGCAACTCTGGAAGCCTGGATTCAGCCTCCGCAGGAACTACGGGGCTCGGGCGGGCTCGGGGCTCTCGGTTCTCCGTCCGCAGGGCCTGGAGGCTCCGGGGCGGGGCCACTGATCTGCTCAGTTCGAGGCAGGAGCGTCCTCGCTGTCTCGGGCCCTCCCGGCCTCTGCCTGTCCGGGGGGGAGGCCGGATCCTGGGCTGTGTCCCGGCGCCCTGTGCTCCGGGGCCTGCGCTGTGGGATTCGCGCTCCCGCCCCGCAGCTCCCTCCCTGGAGCCGCTCCCGAGCCCCTCCTAGCTGCTCCGAGCCCCTCCTAGCTGCTCCGGTCGGTCCGCGGTGAGCTCGCTGCAGCCCTTAGGGAGCTCGGAGCACTCTCCTGCGCTCGCAGGTGTCTGTTAGTGTCCCCGGGAGCCCGAGGGCATCCCCGCTCTCCTGGGTCCTGCTCCAACTCCCTGCGAGCCCCTTTCCGCCCGCCCGGGAAGGTTGGTGCAGCTCCTGCTCCTCCGGGACGGGGCTCTCCTGTCCTGGGGACACTCGCCCCGGCCTCAGCCCGGCTCCTCGCGGGGCCCCTCCCCCTCGGAGGCCTTTTGTTTCTTTATTTCTTTTTCCCCGTCTTCCTACCTTGATAGAAGCGCGAACTTTTCTCACTGTAGCATTCCAGCTGGTCTCTCTTTACATCTCAGGCCGAATTCGTAAATTTTCAGGATGGTTTGAAGGTTATCTAGGTAATTTGGTGGGGACAGGTGATTTGGGGACCCTGCTCTTCCGCCATCTTGCCCCTCCCCCCTGACTTTTCTAACAAAGATCAGAAACAAGGGTGGTATCAGACAAATGGGATAAATAAATGGTATAGAAAAAGCAGAAGTGAAGGATACAATAATTGTCCTCAGCCACTTCTAACTAAGGTTTTGTTCTTAAATTTTTTTTAATGTAGGAAGAATTAGCTCGAATACCAGAACTATGCTGAAGGTTATTTAATTGTGGTTGGTGGAGAACATTGTGCTTATGCATCCCTAGTATGGCTTTATTTATTTAAGATTTTATTTATTTACTCATGAAAGAGAGAGAGAGAGAGAGAGAAAGGCAGAGACATAGGCAGAGGGAGAAGCAGGCTCCATACAGGGAGCCCGATGTGGGACTCCATCCCAGGTTTCCAGGATCACACCCTGGGCTGTAGGTGGTGCTAAACTGCTAAGCCACCTGGGCTGTCCCCCAGTATGGCTTTAGACATTTATAAGTAATCTTTTTCAGGATCCCTGGATGGCTCAGTGGTTTGGCACCTGCCTTTGGCCCACGGCATGATCCTGGAGACCCGGGATTGAGTCCTGCATCGGGCTCCCTGCATGGAGCCTGCATCTCCCTCTGCCTATGTCTCTGCCTTTCTCTCTCTGTGTCTCTCATGAATAAATAAATAAAATCTTTAAAAAAAACAGTTTTTTTCTTTTGGCCACAAAACTCCAAGTTAATCCTTTTAGCGCTGTTACCAGAACTGGCCTGGCCTAATGGTGGCTGTCCACATTCTGGGGTCTCAGCACCCATGTGCCTCATCTTCTGGTGAGCTACCAGCATAAGAGATTTTATGAGATGTAGGATGATCCTTATCTTAAGGAAGCTTTAGTCTCATTGGAAAAACAAGCATCAGAAGTGAAATAATTAAAGAATGATGTAGGACAATGTATGTTCCAATGCCATTCAGGACATTACTAACAGTGGCCCAGGTGACACCAGAAGGTGTCAGGAAAAACTTCACGGAAGTAGCAAAGATGGGGGGCGTGTTTCTATATCGAAAATTATTCTCTCATTCACCAATTGTGTATATATTTATTATATTTATATTGTATCTATATCTATATACTGTGCTCTATTAACATGACAACATCTTTAACAATCTGAACAATCTTTGAACCAGGGATTACCGAGCAGCTACCATATCCCAATGCCATGCTAGGCACTATATTTAAAGGAATGAATAAGGGCTGGATTTCTTCATTCTTTGAATATAGAGGAGACAGGTCTGCAAACGATTACAGTACAATGAGATCACTGCTAGAGTGTCAGTATGAGAAAGGAGGTAGTAGGAGTCTGAAGAAACAGATAGCAAAGTCCACCTGGCGGAGTTGAAGACAGCTTCATATGGGTGTTGAAGCTTCATCTAAAACCTGCATATGAATGAGGAGAAGTTTTAGTGGGGGAGAAGGTAGGAGCAGCAGGAGAAGACATTCTGAGCAGAGAGAGCAAAAATGAAACAACATGGAGGCATTTAGAAGAGAAAAGCACTGTGTCTTCAGGGAAAGTCAAGATTTTGGTAAAGGAAGAAAAAGAGCCCATTAGGGAAGAGGATATAGTAATAGCAACACCACTACTACTATTATGGCTATAACTGCTATTGCCACTACTACTACGTGCTTTTAGAGCACTTTTAGGTTCACAGCAAAAGTGAGAGAAATGTAGAGAGTTCAGATCCCGCTGCCCCACACATGCACAGACTCCGCCATTACCACCCTCCTCACCATGTGCTACATTTGTTACAATTGATGAACTTACATTGACAAATCATCATCCACAGTCTAGAGTTTATATTAGGACTCACTATTGGGGTTGTACAGTCTCTTGGGTTTGAACAATGTATGACATGTGTCCATCATTACAATATCATAAAGAATATTTTCATTGCACTAAAAATTCTCTATGCTCTGCCCACTCATTCTTCCCTCTCCCCAAACCCATGGCAACCATGGGTTGCTGTTGCCAAAGTTTTGCCTTTTCCAGAATGTCATGTAGTTGGAATCTTACAGTCTATAGCCTTTTTATATTGTTTCCTTTCACTTAGCAATATGTATTTAAGTTCCATCCATGTCTTTTCATGCTTGATAACTCATTTCTCCTTAGTGCTAAATAATTTTATATTGTCTGGATGTACCACAGATTATTTATTCATTCATCTACTAAAGGACATCTTAGTGACTTCCAAGGCTTGGCAATAATAATAAATAAAGCAACTATAAACATTGTGTGCAGATTTTTGTGTGAAGATAAATTTTCAATTTTTGTAAATACCAAATAGTGCAGTTCCTGGGTTGTATGTTCAGAGTATGTTTAGTCGGGTAAGAAACTGCTAAACTATCTTCTAAAGTGGTGGTATCAGTTTGGATTCCCACTAGTGATGAATGAGAGTTCATGTTGCTCCACATCCTCACCAACATTTGGGGTTGTCAGTGTTCCAGATTTTGTCCATTCTAATGGGTGTGCGGTGATAACTCATTGTTATTTTAATTTATATTTTCCCGATGACATATGATGTAGAGCATCTTTTCATATGCTTATTTACCATCTGGATATCTTCTTTGATGGGATGTCTGTTAAGGTATCTTTGGGCCATATTTTAATTGATTTGTTTCATTTCTTATTGTGAGGTTTTAAGAGTTCTTTGTAGTTTTAGTTTACAGTTCTTTGTCATATGTGTCTTTTGTAAACATTTTCTTCCAGTCTGTGTCTTATCTTTTCATTCTCTTGACAGTTTTTATTGCAGAGCAGAACTTTTTAATTTTAATGAAGTCCAGGTTACCAATTCTTTCTTTCATGGATCTTGCCTTTGGTGTCATATCTAAAAAGTCATTACCAAACCCACGATCATCTAGCTTTGTTTTCTCCTATGTAATCTTCTAGTAGTTTTATAGTTTTGCATTCTAAATTTGGGTTGGTGATTCATGTTGAGTTAATTTTTCTAAAGGATATAAAGTCTGTGTATAAAGTCTGTGTATAAAGTCTGTGTCTAGATTCCTTTTTTTTTGTATGTTGGATGTCTAGTTGTTCCAGCACCATTTGTTGAAAAGACTATATTTGCTCCATTGTATCATCTGTATACCTTTGTCAAAGACCACAATAAATATTTATTTGGGCCTATTTCTGGTTCTCTATTCTGCTTTATTGATCTATTTGTCTATACTTTCATCAATATTGATGAAATTGAATTGATTTCATCAATATCACATTGTCTTGATTACTATAGCTTTATAATAAGTCTTGAAATTGGGTAGTGTCCGTCCTCCAACTTTGTATTCCTTCAGTAGTATGTAGGCTATTCTAGGTCTTTTCCTTGTCCATATAAACTTTAGAACCAGTTTGTTGAGACTCTTTAGAATCAAGAAAATAACTTGCTAGGATTTTGGTAAGGAGCACATTGAATATATAGATCAAGTTGGGAAGAACTGACATCTTGACAATATTAAGTCTTTCTATTCATGAATATGAACTATCCCTCCATTTATGTTTTTTCTTTGATCACTACTACAATTTAACAGTTATTTGATACTTACTGTTTGTCAAGCAAAATGCTATATGTTTTATTTAATCAGTCTAGTCAATCTTCCCCAATAACCCCACTGGTTGCCCCATTTTTCAAATAGGAATACTAAGTAGACGCTCACATAGCTAGTGCATGGAAAATCTGAGACAAAGATCAGGTCTGTCTGACCCCAGAGTCCAGTATCTGGAGATACAGCCATGGGCCAAATCTTGGAGGAGCTCATATGCCATGCCAAGAAACTTAGATGATGGTAAAGTCATTGAGAATGACTACTTGATAAGTGACGGGACATATTTACAAGTTAGGGAGATTATTCTTGCCACAGTGTGGAGGTTTCAGTGATAGTTTGAGCCTGAGATGATTAAGACCTAACCTAGGGAATCTACCAAAGGATAAAGGCTCACACATTGCTGGCTGAGAGTGAAGGCCACTGGCTGGCCAATGAACTCAGAAGTGTAGGTAGTGTGCTACATGAGGGTAAGTCTTTCACTGATAGCACAAGAGTCTCTGGCCCAATGAGTAGAGTTCTACAGTAATTCTTGCTACAAGTATAATTCAAATGTGTCAGAGCTTTAAGGGAAAACAGAAACATTTTAAAATGGCCTGTGTTTTCTTCTGCTTTTCTCCATATTTCTTAACTGCGTGGGCCTCTCAGGTATTACTGGGCCTTTCTGTTTTCAGAGAAACTTGATTAATCCTGCTAAAAGGGAGTCACTCAGTGGGTCTGATGTGGTGGATGCTGGCCCGGGGAAGTTCTGCAAGGCATGGCACCATTTCCTGTGAACACCCATGGGACGTCTTGCCTGATCTCCAGTTCTACAGAGATCCTGAAGAAATTGGAAAGGAAGAGCAGGCCACTGCTGAAAAGGCTGTGCCCAAGGAGGAGTTTCAGGGTAAATGGACTGCTCCATCTCTTGACTTCACTGCTACTCAACCTGAAAACGCAGACCGGTCTGAAGGTGTGCAGGTGCCCTCTGTGCCTATTCAGAGTTTCCTACTGAAGACTGGAGAGCTCAGCCTGCCACGTCTGGAGCTCCCACTGCTCAGGCCACTGCATGACTTGGGACAACCACTGAGTGCTCTTAAGCTGCTTTTCCACAATGGCAAACGAGATGGAAATAGGGTTGATGTAAAATAAAGTTTTTTTTTTTTTTAAAAAGAAAAAAATATAAAGGCAAGGGAGTGCTATAAGAATGTTAAGGGGCACAGGTTCAATAACTGACTAAGGATTAATAGGAAGGATGTGTCTGGAATAATGCACGATTTTCTGAGCTCAACAACTAGACGGGCTTGGTAACCACTGCCAAGATGGGAAAGAGGGAGGAATAGATTTAGTGGCAAGGGTAGGGATGGGAGGAGGGGATACTTAGATATAGTGAGCTTGAATGGGACATCTGATGGTGATGTCTGATAGGCAGTTGAGTGTAAAAATTTGCAATGTTGAAACCTGGACTAGAGATGGAGAATTGGGATTCAGCCTATAGATGGTACCAAAAACCTTGGGAAAGATTAGAATGCCCAGGGAGAATCTGTAGACACAGAACCGAAGAAAAGACATGCAATGAAAACAGAGAAGAATACCAATAGTATTCCTAGGATCACTGTCATTTAAGGGGCAGAAAAACACAAGTTGAACCCAGGAGGAAATCTGACAAGGTCTAGAACAGCAGTTTGACTGGAAGAGAAGTAGGAGAGAGGGTTACAGAAATCAAAAGAAAAGCATTCCGTGAATGAAGGTGTGGCCAATAGTGTCAAAAGCAGTCAAGAACTGCAGTAAGAAAAGGTCTGTGGTCAATATATGTTGATGTGTTTTACCCGAACCTCCCTCCTTGCAGAGTGTCAACCTGAACTACAGGGCTTGGAAAGCAAAATCTGCCTTTCCCACAATGCCCTTGTGGTCAGTTTACTAGTATGATTTAAGTTGGGCCATTGAAATGGCTACACTTCCACTGGTTATTCTGACAACAATTAAAGCTTTGTTGGGTTTCCTCAGCAGTTTTAGCAGATGTGTCATTCAAGTTTCTGGGGTGGAGTCTAGCTTTTGTACTTAGCTTTGGAGTTGGCATCAGTAAAGGTGGCTTCCTGATTGTGGCTTTCTTAATTATGGTGACTCCTGATACAGGCATTATTGTATGGCTCTGGAGTCAAAAGCTTTCTTAGAAGTGGCAGCAGCTCCCTTGGTAGCCTGGTTCTGTGGTGTGGCTTGAGAAATCAGTCCTGAAATCTTAGCTAAGATTATATTCCTTTAGATTGTCCTTAAGATTCTGTAAGCCCAATATTTTGGTGCAATAAATTTGTTCTTGCTTAAACTAGCTTGAGTGGATATTATTCTCTGTCACTGAACGGTGACTAACATAAGTTCTGCAGAAGTGTAGGTGGGAATTGGAAATGAGATGGTGATTGGTGTTTATTGAGAATGATTTCTGTGGATTGATGGGGAGAGAAAGCAGGACTCCAGGGTATCGAAAATCTTTATCACTTTCCCCCTAAAAGCAAAAAAAACCCCCAAAAAACAAAAGACCCCAAAACAAATGCTTATTGCCTTATGCTATCATGCTGAGAAAATCAGATTAATACTTCCAAGTAAATAAACATTTGTTAGTGTCTCTTAAGTAGACACATAGTCATGTGCTATGTACTCTAAAACATAGAGATGAGAAAAAGTCCTTTTCCTCAGGGACACAGTGCTAGTTAATAGAAACGATGGGAATAAATTTGTGTTCCATTATTTAAAAAAAAAAAAAACAGATTGAATGGATTTTTCTCCCTAAATCTTCAAAAGATGACCTCTGTTAATATTTTTAATATATACATATTCTAGTGGCATATAGTTTTCTTCTCCAACTATTTATTATTGGCATTTTGCTGTGCTACCAGAAATATTTCACAAACATAAATTTTAATAGCTATATAACATCCCATTTATGGATAAATCATAATTTATCTAATCTCCCCCTATAACTTGATCAACTTTTATATCCTTTTTTTTTTAACTTTTATATCCTAATCAGAAATGGTGGCAATACAGATTATTGTGTTGGGTACAAAGATTCTGACAAATAGCTGTGAACTGAGAGTAGGAAACTGCAGATAGAGGACTGCTAAAGAGAAACTAATTATAGGTTGTAGTTAGATCCTTAAGAAGTCAGGCCACTTTAGGAGAGAGTGAGGGGAAAGAGAACAGGCACAAGCATTTATAAGCTCATTTCTCATTTTGCTCTGTGCGCAATAAGACCCAGAAATGTTCCTGCTTCCAGCTCTCCTTATTAGGTAATTTCCCTCATCATAAAAAAATAAGGTCAGCGGCTTTGATCCAATTAATTTTTTTTTAAAGAAGCCCTTTATCTTGCTTGGTATCATGCAGGGCTTTTTTTTTTTTTTAATATAATGACCTAAATATATATCTGATAGAAATAATTTCAACTTAAGCCATAAGAGAAACCTAGTCTTTTCCAAAACAATGTAATGATAGAACTTATGCTTGGATTTGGGGCATATTTATCTTTCTCTACTAATAAAGCTCAGGAAGAGAAACTTCAGAGAGCTTTTTCAGAAACAACTTGAAAGGCTCATGTCTGGTGTGCCTTGCAGTGGCGATCCAGTTTGGCTGGCTTATGACAGCCGATGACAGCCTATCAGGAGGTTTGGCGTACGAGGAATGTTGAATTAAGATGGTTTAGGCCATGGGAGTTCTCCCAATTTCATTCACTCAATGCCTGCTGCTGGCTGGGATGTTAAGAGCCTTGTTAATATAAAGCTATTAGTCTTTTCTCTACAAAAGCAAGGGGCTTGCTGGTTACATTCAGGGTTCCTTAAATTAGTATGTATTTCTAGCCTGGCATTGCTGGAATCAGCAGTTTCACAAAGCAATATACTAAAGAGGCCATTTAACCTCCGATTTCTCCCATTTGCAGATTAATGGCAGAGGGGAAGATTTAATGCCCTTTCAAACATGTTTTAACAATTCATTACAAATAAAGGAATAAATCACACAGGATTTTCTGCAAATGTCTGATGATAAAAAGTGGAAACAATTCAAAATTAGCATGTTTTCCAGTTCCCACAGGTTGGGACACATTTTTGCCAATGTTGTAATTTAAGTCCCTTGAGTCAATTTTCCTGAGGAAATTTAAAAGCTGCTGTGACGGAAACGTGGTACAAAATTGCAATCCAGCTTATTCACCTCTACACAACATCCTCATTTACAAACAGGTCCTAGTCAGATCCATTACACAAAAGTACGTTTCATGTTGCCAGACCCATCATAAGATTAAGATGCAAAGTATAAAAATTTAGATGCCATTTTAGGAAATACGCCTTTCATTTCAAGTTGGTAACATGACAGATATTTTTGAGCAGTTTCCAGAAGCTTTCTTTTAATTACATTCCTCTTACTTAACTATAGGTCTGGCTTAAAGACTTTTGAAGGAATACACATGATGAAAATATCTAAAAAAGTTAGGAACTTGTCTTTGAGCATCCTCTAATATGAAGACACTCTGCTGAAATGCTACATATTTGGAGTGAAACTCACCATACCTCATTTAAACAAAAAGAAACTAATCAAAATAGGTTGTAAATGATTTCTCTTTGGCAATGTGAACTATATTATGCTGAGATACGTATTTAGAAATATGCTATCTAGAGAAGCAAAAGTACACACACTCTTTCAAACCATTATTTCTGAAGTGTTTATTTTCTCTAATTTAATTTCAGTAATTTTGTCAAATAACTGGGTATTCAGTTTATAGACTAGTTTAGAACATCTGCTAGTTTAGAAAATACAGCAAATAAAAATATTTTAAAAATAACTCTTGGGGAAGCCTTTTAACCATTCTGTGCCTATATTTTCCTCCCTTGGAAAATGTCTGAGTGAAAATAAATCCTTAAGGTCCCTTCTAACTTATGCACATTTGTAAAAGTTATCTTGCATATAGTTGCCACATTATGTTAACCACTTACACCTCATTAATATGATAACTATATGTCGGTAACATAATTATTTTAAAGCTGAGTGACAAAGATAGTAAAGAAATCTGCAACATTATAAAATTACAACACATTTATTGGGATTTCAGCATTAAATCTTATGCTGGCCTGACCTAAGGACTAGCCATATGTATACTGGGCCATGGCATCTTGATAACCTGAATTATCTCTCTTCTGATTGTCTTCAGAGAAAATAAAATCAGACATCTCCTGCCCAGCTCTGTTTGTGCCTGGGCCTAAGATACAGTTACCATAGAAACTATGATTATGGATACAATTTTACAAATTTGGCTTCATCTATCAGATGCACTTTGAATGTGTCTGTATGTATGTGTGCATGTGTGTGCACATGTGCATATGTGTCTTGCCAGTGAGCATGAAGAACAAACCCTGGCTCTGCATCTTTAATTAAAGAGCCAGACACCATCTCATTTCCTTTCCCCATCTGTCTACCTACAAATAGAGATATTGCAACACTGGCTGAAATATAAACTTTTACTTGAGAGCAGGCAATTTCTGATGAAAAGAAGGAAGAAAAGGTATTGGGAAAAGCATTCCTTA